CTACTACTACTACTACTACTACTACTACTACTACTACTACTACTACTACTACTACTACTAACTACAACTACTACTACTACTACTACTACTACTACTACTACTACTACTACTACTACTACTACTACTACTACTACTACTACTAGGGTCAAACCTCACCTTCGTGTCTACTGAGAATGCATGGGTAAGGGTAAGGGTTCGGGTTCGGGTTCGGGTTCGGGTTCAGGTTCGGTTCCACACAATCAGTTAAAACCAAGTCGAATAACATAGAATAGTTGGATTTTAATCGTACACGAAGCAGGAGTTCGGAAACCCACAATTTCGCTATTCGCTGGTGGGAAAACAATACAGGGGGCTATAGAGCTAATGGTACACGAAAATGAAGTTCGGAAACCCACTGATTCTAATAGTACACGAAGAAGGGGTTCGGAAACCCACAATTTCGCCGTTCGCTCGTAAGAAAACAATACAGGGGCTATAGAGCCAATAGTACACGAAGGTAAGGTTCGCAAACCCATTGTGGAAAACGAGAAAACAGCGTTCCTCTTTTCCTGTTCGCTTTCCTCTTCCTCATCCTCCTCCTCCCCCTCCTCCTCCCCCTCCTCTTCCTCCTCCTCCTCCTCCTCCTCCTCCTCCTCCTCCTCCTCCTGCCCGTCCCCCACCTCCTCCTCCTCCTCCTCCTTCTCCTCTTCCTCCTCCTCCTCCTCCTCCTCCCCCTCCTCCTCCTCCTCCTCCTTCTCCTCTTCCTCCTCCTCCTCCTCCCTCCCTCCCCGTCCTCCGCCTCCTCTCCTCCTCCTCTCCTCCGCATTCGCCTCCTCCTCCACACCCTCCTCTTCCTCCTCCTCCGTCCTCCTCCCCCTATCCCCCTCCTCCTCCTCCTCCTCCTCCTCCTCCTCCTCCTCCTGCCTCCTCCTCCTCCTCCGCCTCCTCTCCTCCTCGCACCTCCTCCCCTCCTCCTCCTCCTCCTCCTCCTCCTCCCCCCTCCTCCACCTCCTCCTCCTCCTCCTCCTCCTCCTCCTCCTCCTCCTCCTCCTAACCATCACGAACCAAAAACGAATAAAACCAAAATACCTTCCCGAATAAATCCAGAACGACGTCCTTATGAAAACCACTCTCAAGTGGACCACAGGGCCACGATCCTCGTGAGGGGTGTTCCGGCATTGGGCGTCGGTGGGCGGTCGGCAGCGCTGCACATTGGGCCAGGGCCACGATCCATGTGAGAGGCGCGCCGAACTTCAGCGTCGGGCGGCGATCCAAATGTGGCGAGGTCTACGATCCGTGTGAGGGGTGCGCCGATATTGCTCATCGGTGGGCCGTCGGCAACGCTCCCAGGTGGGCCAGGACACGATCCTCGTGAGCGGCGTGCCGGAATTGGACGTCGGTGGGCCTTCGTCAGCGCTCCCACTTGGACCAGGGCCACGATCCTAGTGAAGTGCGCGCCAGAATCGCGCGTCGGAGGGCCGGGCCCACGATCCTCGAGAGGGTTGTGCCGAAATGAAGCGGCTGGCAGTGGCGGTTGCTCCAAATCCGACTTCGACACGAAGGACAGACAGGTGTAAAACTGTCGTTTTTTGTTCACTTTCTAATACGAATCCAATCTACAGCCTCTACAGCGAATAGTGCACGAAGGTAGGCATTGGCGCGAAAGACACGAAGGCCAGGTTTGAAACTACGGTTTTCGTAATTCCCCTGGTAGGAATTCTATTAGGCCTGATACAAAAGAAGAGTACACGAAGGTGAGGTTTGTAGCGACACGAAAACCAGGTGCAACCCTACTACTACTACTACTACTACTACTACTACGACTACTACTACTACTACTACTACTACTACTACTACTACTACTACTACTACTACTACGACTACTACTACTACTACTACTACTACTACTACGACTACGACAACTACAACTACCACTACTACTACTACTACTACTACTACTGCTACTACTACTACTAACTACTACTACTACAAACATACGACTAACTACTACTACTACTACTAACTAACTACTAACTACAACTACTAACTACTACTAATACTACTACTACTCCTACCCCTACTCTACTCCGACTCCGACTCCGACTCCTACTACTACTACTATACAACTACTACTACTAACTACTACTACTACTAACTACACTACTACTACTACTACTACTAAAACGCTCCTACTCCTACTCCTTACTCCTACTCTGGTCCTACTACTCCTGCCCTACTCCCACTCCACTCCTAACTACCGACTCCGACTTCCCGGACTCTCCACTACAAAAACACTACTACTTACTACTTCTACTACTACTACTACCTACTACTACTACTACTAACTTCTCCTAGTCCCTAGTCCTATTCCCACCTCTCCTCCTCCTCCTCCTACCACCTCCTCCTCATCATCAATCATCATCATCATCATCACATCATCATCATCATCATCATCATCATCATCATCATCATCCATCATCTCCATCATCATCATCATCATCATCATCATCATCATCATCATCATCATCATCATCATCATCATCATCATCATCATCATCATCATCATTATCATCAGCATCATCATCATCAGCATCATCACCATAAGCATCATCAGCATCATCATCAGCAGCAGCATCAGCATCATCATCATCATCATCAGCATCATCATCATCAGCAGCATCAGCATCATCATCAGCAGCATCAGCATCAGCATCAGCATCAGCATCATCAGCATCATCATCATGTTCATCATCATCATCATCATCACCACCACCATCATCATCATCATCATCATCATCATCATCATCATCATCATCATCATCATCATCATCATCATCATCATTATCATCATCACCATCATCATCCTGATCCTCATTATCATCCTCATCCTCATCCTTCTCCTCCTTCTCCTCCTTCTCATCCTCCTCCTCCTCATCCACCTCCTTCCTTCCTCTCCTCCTCTTTCTCGTCCTCCTCCTCCTTCTCCTCCTCCTACTCCTCCCCCGGCGTCGTCCCGCCCCCTCTCCCACTCCCACCGCTTCCCCCCTTCCCTCCTCCCCCTCCCCGTGTCTCGCCCCCAGGCGGCCGAGCTCCGCGTGGTCCGCATGCAGGCGCTCGAAAGCGGGGCGGCAGTCCCTCTCCGGGTTGGGGTCGCGGAGCCCTCCGCGGAGGCGAGAGGGAGGAGGGCGGGCGGAGCATGACCGCCCTCCTCGCCCGCGTCGCCCTCGTCCCCCTCCTGTACCTCCTCCTCCTCCTGTACCTCCTCCTCCTCCTCCTCCTCCTCGTTTGACATGGTCGGCTACACCCACGTGCGGATGCATTGATGACGATGTGTCCTTTGTTTTCGCTCCCTCGGGCTTCCGCAACACAATTGCGAATAGCTCAGGGCCCACTGGTGAATGTTGTCAAGACCAGGAGCACCGAGTATCTCGAACACAGCTCGAAAATGTCTGGGGGGGCCGGAAGGCTGGCCGGAGGCGCGGTCCGTCTTGCTGATGCCCTGGTACTGGTAATTGCGTTCTTTCCCCAAGGTCAAACTTGGCGGCGGGGCGGCATCGGCGCCGCTGGCTGCGGGGATCAGGTAGTAGAGAAAAAACACGGTAAAGACGCTGCAGCGCGAGGTCGGCGCTGCTGCAAGAATAACACGGGGTCCATGTAGAGGTCGTAATTGATGTGGCTCTGTCTCACGGCAGAGCGATGGGGCACTGGTCATCGAGGCAAGGCGGCGACAACATCAAGTGCAGGCCACGGCGAGGCGTGGAAGGGCGCCGATGCTCCGCTACCAACTAGACATGAGGATATGGGGTGTAAAAGGCGATCTTCTACAGTGCAAGAAGTAGCACGGCATGGGAATAGCACGCGTAGAACACGAGCACGGTAGGTTAACCTACCATGCCTAATCGGAGGCACCACTGGGTGCGCTGACAACTCGCATTCACAAAATTGCATCCTCCGACGACTCCGTTTTCACATTCGCTACACGGCTTGAAAGGCTTGAACGATATCTGAGGAGGCGCTGCCCACAATGAATGTCTGCGCGCATGCGAGACAGAGGTCGCAAGAGGCAGAGTTTGAGAGGACGTGTTACATGAAGACCAACGGTGCAGCCTGTGGAGTTCGGCAAAAATCTGTCCCACGGCAACCTAGCTTGAGAGCACGTCCCGTGTATCGAATGTTGGCGGCGACAGAGGGTGGGAAGCGAGAAGGAGAAGGCCTTCTCAGAAGGCTCGGAAGTCCACTGGCCTTCTGAGCCTTCCCTGGAGACACAAAAAAAACCTCTGAGAAAGCGCGAGGTCTTCTGAGAAGTCCCGCCGCCTCTGAGAAGGCCTTCTCCTTCTCACTTCCCCCCTTCGCTCGCCTCTGAGAGTGAACACGACCCGAGCGATAGACAGAAAACATATATATATATATATATATATATATATATACATAAAAAGAAACAATAATACAAAAACAACCAAAAAATGGAAACACACAAAAAATCAACAAAAAACCAACGACAACAGAAGCAACAGCAGCGGCAGAGGCGAGCCACGACCTCCAGGAGGCCAGGAGGCATCGACAGGAAAGGCAGGCGAGCGGTAAGAGCATCGCGCGCTGAAAGGCGATCATCTGAAAAACGTCGCGAAGATCGGCATCGGGTCAAAACTCCCGACCAGTCCGCGGCACTCCCAGCCCCACCGCGCGCCTTTCCTCCTCCAACCTCCACCTCCTCATGGCATTCCTGCTCCCCCTCCTCCTCAGGACCTCAAGGTACACCTCATACAGCTAGTGTATAGTAAATCGAAATGAAAGACACACGATAAAACATCCTTCCTCAGCTGAGACGGAAAGAAAGAATTTGCCTCGAGACAAAGATCGCTGTTGTGACTAATGTCGACGAGGTACTGCTTAGCCTGCTTGCGATAAATACGATTCGTACCCTGCTCTTGAAAATAACACCCGCTCCCCCTTTCTCCTCCTCTTCATGAATCCCATCATCGTCTTCCGCGTCCTCCACTTCAACATCATCAACCTCCTCCTCCTCGTCATCATCCGCATCATCATCGTCGTAACCATCATCATCACCATCATCATCAGCAGCATCAGCATCAACATCATCATCAGCATCCTAATCATCATCAGCATCATCAGTATCAGCAGCATCATCGTCATCATCGTCGTCATCATCATCAGCATCATCATCATCACCATCATCATCGTCATGATCATCAGCATCGTCAGCATCATCAGCATCATCATCATCATCAGCATCATCATCAGCATCATCAGCATCATCACCATCACCATCACCATCACCAACACCGCCACCACCACCAACACCAACACCAACACCAACACCAACACCACCAGACGGCCTCATTCTCGCATCGGTTTGCGGCGACTCAGAACGGGCACTTCACGCCGGGCGCCTCCATGCCGGGCGCCCGAGGTGGACCGCGGGTTCCTGCTGCTGCTCCCCGCCGCGGCAGTTCGTGGCCGTTCCTTGCGACCAGCACGCGCCGGCGATGTCCTGGCGTCTCCAACTGTTTCTCCTCCACATTGTCGTCCTCCTCCTCTTCCTCCTCCTCCTCCTGTCCTCTCCCTCTCCTCCTCCTCCTCTCCTCTCCTCCTCTCCTTCCTCCTCCTCCTCCTCTCCTCCTCCTACCTCCTCCTCTCTCCTCCTCCTCCTCCTCCTCCTCCCTCTCCTCCTCCTCCTCCTCTCCCCCTCCTCTCCCTCCTCCTCCTCCTCCTCCCCCTCCTCTTCCCCCCCCCTCCCCCGCCCCTCCTTTTCCTCCTCCTCCTTTTTTTTCCCTCCCCCCCCCGCCCCCCGTCCTCCTCCCCCATTCGCCTTCTTTGGCCCTTCCTCCTCCTCTCCTCCTCCCCTCCTCCTCCTCCTCCTCCTCCACCTCCTCCTCATCATCATCACCATCATATCATATCATCATCATCAGCATCATCATCATCATCATCATCATCATCATCATCATCAGAATCAGCATCATCATCATCATCATCATCATCATCATCATCATCATCAGCATCAACCTCATCAACCTCATCATCATCATCATCATCATCATCGTCATCATCATCATCACCATCATCATCATCATCAGCATCATCATGTTCCTCTTCCTCGTCGTGTTATTATTAGTATGATCGGTATTGGTACTGTTGGGTACGATTACTATTCGTAGTTGTTTTTGTATAAGCATCCTTAGTCGTATCAACCATATGATGTGTATAAGTTTTATCCGTGTTAGTAGTATTCCGATTGTTCTTATGGGTACTAGTATTAGTAGTGCTGTTACTGGGATTGTTATTAGCACTCGTCTTGGTATAATTAAAATGATTCGCCGTATTAGTAGTTCCAGTACTCTTATCAGTCACAGCAGCGATCTGAATACACTTCTTCGTATCGTTACTAGTTGCCTTAGCACGAGTATTATTAGTATGCATCGTCTTGTCCGCAGTATAGGTATTAGCGTCAGTACGGTTGTCAGAACTCTAGTCATTGTTAGCCGTTGTCGTACTAGTCTCAGCCTTAATTCGTAGTAGTCGCAGTATGAGTAGTAGCGTTCGTAACAATACTACTGTGCATTATCAGCATCATCCGTAGTTCTCGTAGTAGTGTTAGTAATAGCAGTAATAGTGTTATTAGTGTAAGTATGCGTACCTCTTCTGAGTTTTAGTAGTATTAGTATTCGCACTGATAGTATCGTTAATATAATCAATAACGGCCGTCTAACGAATAGTGCCATTAATATCCGTATGCGGATGTGTGTTATTATGTTTATTCGTCGTACGACCTGTATTATTGTCTTGTACGCGTTAATCGTGTTCGCCATCTCCGTCGCGTTACCAAAAGTATTGTCCGCCCTGCTTGCGTTACAAGTAACCTGGGTAATACTAGCAACAGCTGCGTTAGCACTATCCTTAGTAGCACGCTTCATGGTAACAGTGGTATGAGGAGTATTGATCTGTGTGGAGGTATCACTAATAACAATATATGAGAAGAGGGAAAAAAAAAAACATAAAATACAGTTTTTTTTTAAAAAAATAAAAAAAAAAAAAAAAAAAAAAAAATGTGACCATCATTACGAAGAGTAGCATCGCTCGCATTGCTGGTGCAAACAGTATTGTCGTTACGTGTGGTAGAAGTATTCATAGTATTGATAATATCGTGACTGTTCGTTTTAGTATTACTGATAGTGTTAGCTTTACTAGGTGGCGGAAAGACTACCAATGGTGATAGTAGGATTCTCAAAGTTAGTAGCACTGGAATCGTCATCCGAAAACTAGTATTCGCATTAGTAACAATATTGTTCAAAGTCGTAATAGTACCTGCGCCCCCCTGGATATATAATTCCTCTTGATATTTGGTGATACGTTGAGTCATATTAGTATGAATCTGATTCAGATTCCTCGTCCACTTCTCCTCCTCCTCCTCCTCCTCATCCTCCTCCTCCTCCTGCGAAGGCCGCGGCGCGGGTCCCTTTGCCGCCGCGCCCGCGCTTGCGCCCGCTCTGAGCTCCAGGATCATCGCGACGACACCTCCCGGCCGGCGCCGTCCACCCGCCGCCGCCGGGCGCGCCGCTTCCGCCGCGCTGCCGCGGGGCGCGCGCCGCGCCGCCGGGCGCCGCGCGGCCGCCGCCGCCGCGCGGCGGTTGCCGCCGGTGCCGGCCGCGCATCCAGCCCCGCCCCGGCAGCCGCCGCCGCCGCCGCGCGTCTGCCAGAGCGCCGGCTCCGTCCGCCTGGCGGCCGCGCCCAGCTGCAGCGCCGCCCCCGCAGCCGGCGCCGCCCGCGCAGCCCGCCGCCGCTGCCCAGCGCGCCGCGCCCGCCGCAAGCGCCGCCGCCGCCCGCCGGGCGCCCGGCGTCGTCAGCTCCAGGTGCCCCTGCGCCCGGGCGCGGCGCGTGCGCCGCGCCCTGCGCGCGCCTCAGCAGCAGGCCGCCCCGGCGCTCAGCGCCTCAAGGGGCGCGGCCGGGCGCGCCGCCCCAGTGGCCACACCGAGGCGTTGTACGCCTCGGCGTTGGCCCGCTGCAGCGCGGCGGCCATGCTCTGGCGCGCCGCCGAGAGCACAGCCGCGTCGCCCGCCGCCCAGGTGCGCAGGAGGTCCTGCGCCTCGCGCCCAGGCCGGCCCAGCGTCTCCAGCGCGAACGCGCACAGCGCCGCGCCAGGGTAGCGGCGGTGCTTGCGCTCCTCCGCAGCGGCCGCCGCGGCCCCGTTGCGCCAAGCCCAGCCCCGCCCCCGGCCCCGCGGCCCCGTTGCGGCCGTCGCGGCCCCGGCTGCAGCGTCGGTCACCACGACGTCCACGTACGCGGTGCCGACGACCGGGTCCACGTAGGTCACGTCGAGCCGCGCCGCCTCCAGGCTGCCTGGCGGGTCCTGTCCCAGGCGGGGACGAGCTGCTCGGTGCCCACGCCCCTCGCCCCGCGCCCCTTCAGCCAGCGCGCGAGCCAATCGCGGATAGCGCTGTGGCGCGCTATCGTGCCCGCCCCAGCATGGCAGCCCAGGAGGTGAGTCGGGGCCCGCGCAAGGTCCGCTCCGCAGAGGTGCCCGTCGGCGCGGCGGCGCTGGCAGGTGGCGCAGGCGTCGGCAGGCCTTGGGCGGCGGAGGCGCAGTGCCAGCGCCGTCAGGTAGTGCTCGTCCGCCAGGCGGTGGTCGTCCTGCGTCGGCGGGAGCAGCCAGCTGCCAACGCCTTTCCCGCTGGCCGAGCGGAGCTGGGCAGCCTGCTCTGGCGGCAGCCCTGCCAGGAGCCGCTTCCGGTTCTCGTCTCGTTCGTGGTGCGCGAGCGCCTTCTGCGCCTTGCGCTTCGGCTCCACCGCGGCCCGGTGCCACTCGCCGGCGCCAAGCCGGAGCTCGTTGCCCGCCCGCCCCGCCGCGCCCCAGAGTGCCGGGCAGCTCGAGGCGAACGCCCCCAAGCTGGCTTCGCCCAGCCCCCGCCGGACGTCTGCCAGGCAGCCGAGCCACGAGCCAGCGAAGGCGGCGAGCCGGCGCTGGGACATGCTGTGCAAGCCCACCCCGCCCTCTGCCAGGGGAAAGAAGAGCTGCGCCCGCGCGCCCGGCGGCAGAGGGCGCCCGAGCAAGCCCTCCAGGTGCCCCACCACCTTGTTGTCGTAGTCCTGGCACCATTCCTCGCCAAGGAGGTGCGCCCGCGCGTGGTGAAGCGCCGCCCCGTTCGCGAAAGTCCGGACGAGGACCACCTCGTCCTGCGCCGTGAGCCCGTGCGCCCGCAGGCCGCGCAGCTTCCCGAGGTAGGCGGTCAGGTGCTCTGTCGCTGCCGCGGGGGCCGCCGTCGGCAGGAAGCTCACCCTCGCCGGGTCTGCGCTCAGCCCTTCTGCCGCCGCTCCGCCGCGCACGAACGGCAGGAGCGACCCGAGGCACTGCATCTGCGGCACGACCTTCCCAGCCAGGGACGCCGGGAGCTGCAGACCCCAAGGGTTCCAGACCTGCGTTTTGTCGTCGTTCACCCTGAGGCCGACTCGGCCGAAGGCGGCGGGGGCGGCGGCGTACGCTGCCTCCAGCGCCACCGGCGTAGCCTTGAGGTAGCGGTCGCCCAGGTAGGCCAGCAGGCGCGCTTCTGGGTCGACGGCGGCCGCCGCTTCGAGAGCGAGGTACACGTCCGCCACGGCGACGGCGAAGAAGGCCGGCGACAGCGGGCACCCTTGGTCAAGGCCACGTTCCGCCCGCACCGTCATCCTCCTCCTCCTCCTCCTCCTCCTCCTCCTCCTCCTCCTCCTCCTCCTCCTCCCCCTCTCCCACCCCCTCCCCCTCCTCATCCTCCTCCTCTTCCTCCACCTCCGCCTCCCCCTCGTCCTCATCCTCCTGTTCATCCTCCTCCCGCTTCCTCCTCATCCTCCTCCTCCTCCTCCTCTACCTCCTCCTCCTCCTCCCCTCCTCCCTCCTCCTCGTCCTCCCTCCTTCTCCTCCTCCTCCTCCCCTCCACCGCCTCCTCCTCCGCCTCCTCATCCTCCTCATCCTCACTCCCCGCCTTTCCGCCAGCCTCCTCCTCATCCCCTCCTCCTCCTCCTCCTCCACCTCCTCACCCTCCTCATGCTCCTCCTGATCTGCTGGTCCTCCTAGTCCCCCATGCTTATTCTGCTCCTCCTACATCACCTGCTCCGCCTGTTCATCCTGCTCCTCATCTCATCCTCCTCCTCCTCCTCCTCCTCCTCCTCCTCCTCCTCCTCCTCCTCTCCTTCCTCCTCCTCCCCCTCTCCTCGTCTCTCCTCCTCTCTCCTCCTCCTCCTCCTCCTCCTCCTCCTCCTCCTCCTCCTCCTCTCCTCTCGTTCATGCATCATCAGCAGCATCAGCAGCAGCATCAGCATCACCAGCATCAGCACATCATCATCTCATCATCATCATCATCTCATCATCATCATCATCATCATCATCATCATCATCATCCATCATCATCACATCATCATCATCATCATCGTCATCATCATCATCAGCAGCAGCAGCATCATCATCAATCAGCATCATCTTCATCATCATCATCATCACCATCAGCATCATCATCATCATCA